ATGGGTTCTTTAGGCACAACCAAAAAGCTTCATGCTGTGTGCATTCCATTCCCAGCACAAGGCCACATAAACCCAATGCTCAAACTAGCAAAGCTTCTCCATTTTAGAGGCTTCCATATAACCTTTGTTAACACAGAGTATAACCATAAACGGCTTCTCAAATCTAGAGGATCTGATTCCCTAAATGATGTTCCATCATTTTGCTTTGACACCATCCCTGATGGTCTACCTGAGTCTGATGCGGATGCCACACAAGATGTGAGTTCCCTGTGTGAGTCTACAACAAAGACTTGCTTAGCTCCATTCAAGAACCTCATTTCAAAACTGAATAATGCCTCAGATGTCCCTCCTGTGACTTGTATAGTTTCTGATGGTGTTATGAGCTTCACTCTTGATGCTGCCCAAGAACTTGGCATCCCAGAGGTGCTTTTCTGGACAACTAGTGCATGTGGGTTCATGTGTTACATGCAATATCGCCAACTCATTGAAAAGGGCTTAACACCCCTTAAAGGTAAATTGATTTCTTTTACTATATATTAAAACTCACTCATTTGGGGTGGCCCACTGGTTTGAAAGTTCCTATCAAATATGTCATATTTATAAGAATCGCAATATTATATAGAGTTTATGTAAATATCTCACTTCTAATTTTATATATATTTGTTGGGGCAAGTTATATTTACCAACTTTTTTGTTTACAGATTCTTACAAATTACACTATGTTCTCCCGGAAGAACATTAATTTCACTATGTTCTTCCGGGAGAATATAGTGTAATTTGTAAACAAAATTCAAAAAAATTTGTAAACAGATCCTTCCCCATATTTATTTATGTTTACGGAAAAGTAAGTGTCTTCTCTAAAAAGACTGCTCAATATTGAGCCTTTTAAGGGGTACTAAAATATTAAAGCTATATTATTTTTCTCATTAACATTACTTTCATCTAAAAAATCATCAAACGTTATTTGTTAAAAGTTTATCATTAAATAGACATACCTTTACAGTAACCCGATTATATATATATACAGGGGCAGGATATTTTTACACTGGTATAAAAGTTAGAAGTCTTACACTTAATCTGACCATTGATCCATTTATATCCAATTGCCCACATCACTAAAATATTTGAACCCTTAGATATAATTGAGATTAACGGATAAGATTAAGAGTGTAACTTACACTGATGTAAAATGATCATGACCCACACACACACATATATATATGATCATTTGATATCAATGTCAAACTAAAAAATTTAGCACAAAATTTTAATCATTGATTTTTGTCAATTTGACGGTTATAATTTATTGAAAATTAATAATTAATTAATAATTGTGATTCAATAAATTATAACAATCAAATTGGTGAAAATTAATGGTTAAGATTTGGTATGGTATCAAACTTTTTAGTTTGACATTGGTATCAAAAGATCTTACCCATATATATGTATGTATGTATATTAATACCATTTTACATCGATGTAAGTTACACTTTTAATTTTGATAGTTATTTCTATTTATATCTAATGATTCTAATTTATTAGATGTGTGAGCAAATAATCAATGAACAAAAATTAGTTCAAGACTTCTTGTTATACCACTCTAAGAAGAGTAAGGATATTCTAATTACAAAAAATTCTTACTACTAATTTACTATCCATCACATCACCATTGGATCAAAGAGAGAGAATGTTAAAAAGTTTTTAAAGAGAGAGAAAATGTTAATCTAATGGTGATTAGATAGGTAGTAAGTTGGTAGTGAAAATTTTTGGTAGTGAGAATATCTCTCCTCCTACGAGAATAACCTGTACTAATTTAACAAAGTAAATTCTGTACTTGACATGCAGACTCAAGTTATATCACAAATGGGTATTTGGAGACAATCATCGATTGGGTGCCAGGCATCAAAGAAATCCGTCTAAAGGACATGACTAGCTTTATAAGAACCACAAACCCAGAAGAATTTATGTTAGATTTCATACAAGGGGAGTGCGAGAGAGCTAAAAAAGCTTCTGCAATCATTTTGAACACATTTGATGCATTAGAGCATGATGTTTTGGACGCATTGTCATCCATACTGCCACCATCGGTCTATTCCATTGGTCCCTTGAATTTACTCTTAAATGATATCAATTATGAAGATTTGAAAACAATAGGGTCAAATCTTTGGAAGGAAGAGCCAGAGTGTCTAGAATGGCTAGACTCCAAAGAACCTAACTCTGTGATTTACGTGAACTTTGGTAGCGTCACGGTTATAACAAGTGACCAATTGATAGAGTTAGCTTGGGGACTTGCTAATAGCAACAAAACCTTTTTGTGGGTTATAAGACCAGATGTTGTAGCAGGGGAAAATGCTATTTTACCTTTAGAGTTCGTGAATGAGACAAAAAAGAGAGGCCTAATGGTAAGTTGGTGTCCCCAAGAGCAAGTTTTGGCTCACCCCGCAATTGGAGGGTTCTTGACACACAGTGGTTGGAATTCAACGTTGGAAAGTGTGTGTGGAGGTGTTCCTATGCTTTGTTGGCCTTTCTTTGCGGAGCAACAAACCAATTGTAGATTCTCTTGCAAGGAATGGGGTATTGGGTTGGAGATTGAAGATGTTAAGAGGAATATAGTTGAAAGCCTTGTGTTGGAGTTGATGGAGGGTCAAAAGGGTAAAGAGATGAAAGCTAAAGCTTTGGAATTGAAGAATTTGGCACATGATGCTACTTCTGCTCCACATGGATCTTCGTTTCTCAATATGGATAATATGGTTCGTCAAGTTCTTATGGGCAAAGTTGATAAAAACTAGTGTTTGGATTTGAATTATTCCAATCCGTTTGGTACTTTTAATGTTTTTAAAACCGAATTGCTTATTGGATCCACAAATGTACTGGTTCAACTGTGATTGGGTGGCTTAAATTGGAGTATATATATTAAAATATGTTTAATAATTGAATACATTGTAATAATGTATTGAATATTATTATATAAGCATTATGCTTCAATAATTCTCGTGTAGCCTAGCTGATTGCATGATGCCTTAGTGGGTTTGACTCTCATGAGACGTATTTGTAACATTGATTACAAACGAACGTGGGATGTCTTATTTACAAATAAATAAATAAGTGTACTTTGAAAATGATGTTGCATTGTCTTTTACCAAAATAATAATCCAATTCATCTTTTGGCACAAACCAAAATCAAATTCCACGAATCTATATATGGGAAGAGACATATTAAAATATTTGTTTCCAGAAGAATAAAAACACAAAATCCCACAAAACTCGTTCCACATTACAGATAAGAATTTTACTGTTCTAACTAAAATTGCATCACCCAAACACATGCAAAAATGGGACAAACGACGAGGAGATATAACCATTCTCCAAAAATAACAAGAAATCATCACAAAATCAGGAAATTGAACAATCACAAAGCCTCATATTCACCACACACTCCCACTATAAAATCCTCTCAATCCCAACACTTTTTTTAATTTCCTTAGGCCGATACGGTAATTGACTTACAATAATTATATCATATTCCTTTGTGTTTACCTACTACTCCATGGAGATGAATAAAAAGGTTGCTTGCTTTGTCCTCTTTGCTGCTGCCACCATGAGCACCATCATGGCTCACGGTGGTCACCACCATGCCGAGGTCCCAGCACCGGCTCCAGCTCCAGGACCTAGCAGCGGTGCTGCTACTCTTGGCTCATTCGTTGGTGCCTCTCTTCTTTCCTTCGTTGCCTACTACTTGTAGTTCTAACTTCTAAGCGTGATACATTAACACACGTGCGTGATACAACAAGAGGAGGAAGACTTGAGATTCTCTTTTATTATATGGGAAAACATTTTCTCCTTTTAAAGGAGAAAATTTTTCTCATGTTAGTGACTCAAAGCATATGTGGGTCTCACCTTTAATTTTTTTCTCTTTCCACTATTTTGTGGGACCCACTTATACAATGTGTCACTAACATGAGAAAAATTTTCTCGTTTAAAAGAAGAAAATGTTTTCCCTTATTATATATGTCCTTTCCTTTTGCTGTTGCTTTTCCATTTAATTTGTATTTTCTTTCCATATTGAATATGGAAGCATGAATACATTATTTTACACTACTTATTTTGTTTTACTTGTTATGTTGAGTTATGACTACATTATTATAACATGCAAAGTAATTTGAGAGTTTATTCAACATCTATGCTGCCTTTTTAGATTTAGATGAGTAATAATTGACTACCATATCATATCGTTATTTTTTTAAAATGTAATTTTTAACTCTAGCCCCTCCCTTCTATCTTTAAACAAACGATATATTGTACTTTTTTTATTTTTTATATAAGAGTAATTTATTAAAAAAAATCTATTTTCTTATTGTTGGGAACTCGGTTCCCTCAAGCTCGGCTAAGCAGCCTTTGTGCGGAAGTCAATCAACAAGATCCTGATCTCGGCAATACCTCGGCCTGAACTTCATCAGGTCGGGTAGCGCAGCGAAAAATCAAAAACACAAAACAGGAGAGAGAGAGAGAGAGAGAGAGAGAGAGAGAGAGAGAGAGAGAACACAAGTAGTTTTTAACGTAAGAAAACCTTCTCTAATGAAGAAGTAAAAACCCACGGGACCTAGTCCAAATCAAAAATCCACTATGAAAATAATGGTTACAAAGAATCAAATTCACCAATGTGGTGGTTAACTCAACCTCTCCAACAATGGTGATAATCAAACCTCCTTAGAGATGTTTCACTAAAACTCTCTCTAGAGATCTCTCAAATACAAAGCATAAAGCTTTGCTCAAACAATTTTCTCTCAAATTTCTAATCTCTCTCTTCTTAACCTAGCCTCCACCCTCAACTAATGAATATATAGAGGAGGTGAAATTTAGGGTTTAAGGTTTAGGATTTTTGGGAAACTCCTCAATGGGCTTGGGCTTAGCATTGAAGGAGGAAGCTCAACAAATCTCCCCCTCCGACTTCAATGCGTCGGCTTCAGCATCAACCCGGCTCCTTCACAGCAGTCTTCAAATTTCCTTGCTGGAACCGGCTTTGTCATCATGTCAGACCAATTTTGGTCAGTGTGCACCTTGACGAGTTCGAGCTCTCCACCTTCCACCACATCCCGGATCGAGTGATACCTCACATCAATATGCTTAATGCGGGAATGATAGGTCAAATTCTTCGCAAGATGGATTGCGCTTAGATTGTCACAACCCAGATCGTACTTGTCTTGATCATGGCCGAGTTCCATGAGGAACTTCTTCATCCACAACATCTCTTTGCTTGCCTCAGTAGCAGAAATGTACTCAGCCTCAGTTGTCGATAGTGCAACACACTTCTGAAGTCTTGATTGCCAAGGGACAGCTCCTCCGGCAAATCTCATCATGTATCCCGTTGTCAATTTCCTCGAGTCGGAATCTCCCCCTAAATCAGAATCCGAGTAGCCTTGCAATTCGACTTTGCCTTCTCCAAATTGGAGGCATAAGTTGGTCGTACCTCAGAGGTACTTGAATATCCACTTCACTGCTTCCCAATGCTCTTTGCCAGGGTTCGATAAATATCGGCTTACCATTCCAACAGCATACGCCAAGTCGGGTCTAGTGCACACCATTGCATACATCAAGCCTCCGACGGCGGATTGGTACGAGACCTTCATCATCTCATCTTTGTCTTCATCAGATCTCAGACATTGCTTCTGGTTCAGCTTTATGTGTCCGGCTAAGGGGGTGCTCACTGTTTTGGCTTTTATCCATGCTGAATCTCTTCAGAATCTTCTCAATATACTTCTCTTGACTCGGCCACAATAGCTTCTTTTGTCTATCTCGGATAAATTTGATTCCGAGAATCTGCTTTGCAGGGCCGAGGTCCTTCATTGCGAAGGACGAGCTCAACGCCTTTTTCAAGGCGGCTATCCTCGATTTGTCTTTCCCTACAATAAGCATGTCGTCAACATATAACAACAAAATCAAAAAATCTCCGGCCTCATACCTCTTCACAAATACGCAGTGGTCGGCTTCTGTCTTCTCAAACTTGTGATCTGTCATGAAAGATTCAAATTTCTTGTACCATTGCTGAGGTGCTTGCTTCAAGCCATATAGGCTCTTCTTCAACCGACATACTAAGTCTTCTTGGTCTGGAGCTCAAAACCCCTCAGGTTGCTCCATATATATTTCTTCTTCTAAATCACCGTGAAGAAATGCCGTCTTCACGTCCATTTATTCTACCTCGAGGTCCATCGAAGCAGCCATGGCTAACACAGTTCGGACCGAGGTCATTTTCACGACAGGAGAAAAAATCTCCTCAAAGTCTACTCCTTTCTTCTGATTGCAGCCTTTCACTACAATCCGAGCTTTGTATCTCAGCTTCTTCCCGTTCTCTTCATTCTTAATCTTGTAGATCCATTCATTTTTCAAAGCTCATCTTCCTTCAGGCAACTCGTTCATCTCATAAGCCTGATTCTCATGTAGAGACTTCATCTTGTCTTGCATTGCCTCTTCCCATTCTTCTTTCTCTGAGCTCGTCACAACCTTATCATAACTCTGAGGCTCACCATCTTCAGCAACAACTATGTATTCATCAGATGGGTATCTTGTAGAGGGTCTTCTTTCTCGAGTTGGATATCTCGGCTGTTCTTCAGCTTGAGAACCCGGTTCATCATTCTCATCCGGATCTCATCACCAACTCGGACCTCAGTGTCTTGGTCATCATCAGCATGTTGCTGGTCATCATTTTCTTAATTTTCTTGATTTTCTCCCCCTACTTCAGTTCGGACAGGAGGGATGGGTTCTTCACGTCTGACAGTAACCCAAAATTTGGGCTTCGAGATGTCATGAATGTTCTCATCTTCATGAAAGATCACATCTCGGCTTCTCACTATCTTCTTATTGATTGGATCCTAAAGTCGAAACCCGAACTCACATCTCGGCGAACCAAGATAAATGCATTCTTTAGTCTTCGCATCAAGTTTTCCCCTTTCATCTTTAGGGATATGCACGAAAGCTCGGCATCCAAACACCTTCACTTGATTATAGGCCGCTTTCCGACCTATCCAGACTTCTTCTGGAATTTCTCCTTCAAGTGGCCGTGATGGTGAGAGGTTGATCAAGTCAATAGCAGTTCTGACAGCTTCTCCCCAGAATGATTTCGGTAACCCGACATTGGATAACATGCTTCGTACCTTCTCTTCAATAGTTTGGTTCATCCTCTCAGCAAGTCCATTCAGCAGTGGAGTCTTGGGGGGCGTCTTCTCAAGTCGAATCCTGGCCGCTCTGCAGTATGCATCAAATGGGACGCAGTACTCACCACCATTGTCAGATCGGACCACCTTCAATTTCTTGCCAGTCTCCCTTTCAACCATTGCATAGAATTCTTTAAAGGATTGGAGTTCCTGGTCTTTAGACTTCAATAAATTTACCCACACTTTGTGGGAGTGGTCATCAATGAATAAAACAAAATACTGAGCTCCTCCAAGAGATCTTTCCGACATGGAGCAAACATCAGTATGGACGAGGTCAAGAATATACCTGCGTCTTCTGGGTTGATCCGATTTCACGAAAGAAACCCGGTGCTGCTTTCCAGCTAGGCAGTGCGTTCAACTCTCCAACGCTTGGCCTTTCAACCCGGTCAGTAATCCTTTCTTATGTAGGATTTAGAGCCCTTTCACGCTCATGTGGCCGAGGCGCTTGTGCCATAGCTCCAAGTTAGGTCCATCTCGAACAGAATTGGCTTCTCCGCTATTGATCTTTCCTTGCATCACGTACAAGGAGCCTTCCTTCTTACCTCGGGCCACGACCAAGTTTCCCTTGGCCAGCTTCCATC